TTAAATAAATAAATAAATAAATAAATAAATAAATAAATAAATAAATAAATAAATAAATAAATAAATACAAGTAGAAGGATTTGTTTTACTCCTATAGCAGCCAGGTCTTTGCGTTTTAATATTTGAGGTGGCATGGATTAAAATAGCTCAACCATCTATACTTCCACATCTGAGTGACAGGGTGATGTTTTCCATTGCACCTGATGGCAGATGACTAGCTTGGGCGGGGGCATAGGACAAGCCACACATATACATGCATACACATCTGTACCTCTGTCCTCCAATTGGGACAAATGGACAGGGGCTGAAGGTCTTCAGATCAGAAGCCAGGGGGGCACTGCCACTATTTTTGCCCATGCCCTCACACCCCACATCTGCCATCCGAAGAGGATGCCACATTGCCTAATGGTCGGGTTGGTATAATACAATACAGAATTGGGCTTTGTTCTCAGAGTCGGTCCTGCTTTACAACACTCAGTCATGGCCAACATTGGATTTCAGCACTAAGCTCTATAATTTTTGTTTTAGATGAACTTTATTAATTTTGAAATAGGACATGTTACATATGCATTATAACCCTATAATCCTACAAGGCAATGTTTTTAGAAAGGATAATAAACATTTTTGGGGGGAAAGACTTTAGGCCATATTGTAACCTAACAACTCACAGCAGACAATTTCCAGAGCCAGTTCAAAGTGCTGATAAAAGTCCTAAATGGCTCAGGTCTATCTCAGAGAGTATATAAAGCTCACATCCTGTATCTGTTTTCAGAGGTCAGACGTTCCCCAGGAACAGTGATGGCTCATGACAGAGACAGGGGGTGCCTCCATTCCATAAGCTGTCAACATCCTGAAATAGAGCCTTTTCTGTTATGGATTTGTTTTAAAAAAGTTGTTTTCCCATATAGTCTGCTAGGGTATTTCCATTGATATTTTTTATGAGACTTGCAAAGATGTTCTTATTCTGCTCACCATTTGGTAGCTGCGCTAATACATGCTTCTTCTTCTTCTTTGCTCTTAGTATTCAAACCGCCTTATACTACTGGTTGTGTTTTAAATACACTATCCTACACTGGAAAGGATAATACATTACCAACAATGTTCCAACTGAGGTTACTGTAAGGTATGATAGAAGCCCTCTGGTAACAGTGCAGCACCAGACAAACGACTACTGCGACATATACACCGACAGAACATTCCATCAGCGCATTTGATCTGTGAGAAGAAGCACTGTGAACATTTTGTTCTGCATGGGATTTGTTACAGAAAGCAAAGCAACAGACCGGAGGGCTTTTTGTACATTCAGGTAGCAGCCCTCT